CTAATGGTTTTTCATCCTGCTTGATTAAAGGTTCCTTTTGAAATAATCCATTTCAAGAGTCTTTACTTTCTTAAATTAGGAGGGGAGCTATTACACCTGTGCTCCACTACAAAACAATGTGATCGGGCTTGATAAATCAACACTTACAGCTTGAAAATTAATGAGTAGTTAACATTGGCCTCTCCTCTCCCTTTCTCTGCCTCAGGCAGAGGCCTCTCCTATCTTATCCCCTTCTCTCCTTCAGGCTTGCCCCACAGAGGCCTCTCCTATCTTATCTCCTTCTTTCCATCAGTCTAACTTCTTAGCATCAGAGTGTTTTTGAGATGGGGAGGGGGAGTAAAATATCTAAACTCCCAGCCCGCAGGCTGGATGAGTCATGCGTTGGCCATGCCCACGTGGCAGTTGGGACAGAGCTTTTTTTAGATGGGAAGTGGGAGTAGAACATCTAACTTCTTAGCATCAGAGCGTGTTAATAATAATAATATAAGAAATAATAATGATCTGATGGTCATTTTGAAAAATCCCTCCTTAGCGAGCACCTAGAAACCAAGAGGCACATACGTGCCAAATTTCACGTTTGTAGGCTTTACAGTTCTGGAGATTTCCTGATGATGCATGAGTGGTATTTTGCTTTTATATATATAGATGAAACGGCGGGAAAAAAAAGACAAAGACAGTTATTGTTTTTTTCCCATTAACTTGCTTCACTAAAAATATTTATCAGGATGAGTTTTGAAACAAAAGAACCAACGAACCAAAAACCCAGGGGAAAAATACACATTTGAATTGCCAAAAAACTCTATAAAAATGTTTGATACTCTTGAGAAAATATTGCTAGTAGGCAGTAAGGATAAGAGAAAGGACACTGTTGCTTCCCGCCCCCAGCCACATTTCCCAGAATTAGCAGTGCACAAAAATGTTAAAATTCGTAGCCATTTATAGAGAAAAGGACACACACAGGCAGAGATGCTAATGGCTTTTGCCTCGGTTTATAACCTAATTTCCATCCTTCATTGCTTGCCTTTCATAGCACTTAGTACCCTGAAGACTGTCCAAGTCTTAAGAATTTGCATTCATCAGCAGACTCTGTGCAAATCTTGCTTTTAAATGCTATAAAATCCTGCCTTTTCTTTAATTTCATTATTCGGTCTTTCCTTAACAATGCAGCAAGCTGGCTGCAGGGCATCATCTGCGCAAATACATTTTTGGCAGCCCCGTAAAGTTCCTCTCACGTAGGGCTTTGTCCACGATCACAATAAACTGATCTATCACTTCTTTCATTTCCTTTGTGAAGGGTTCAAACCCTTTCTGCTTGGCTCCCGACCGCTTGAAATTCCCATCTCGGTTGTTTTCAACGCAGAGGAGCCGGTCGTAAGTCACTGTGACGTTCAGAAATTCAACCATTTCCCTCAGCTTGGGAAGAAGGGCTTCTTCTAAGTCTTCATAATGAACCACAAGGAGATGCCTGCCGTATTTAAGCCAGTCGAGCACATGAGAGGCCCACCAAGAAGCATAGCTGTTTACAAAATCCGGCCATTCTGCGGGGCAAGAAAGATAATAAAAGATGTTTTTTATGGCTTTTTGGAACCCTGTGCAGAACATAAAATTGTTACACCTTCTTATATCTACATAGTCAACTAATAGTCAGCTGTTGTGGCCCAGCAGGAGCTGTTGGAGCTGCCACCAGACTCCGACAGCGAGGGGCCCTCTGAGTCGGCTCTGGAGGAGGTTGAGGGTTCTGGACAGGGTTCCGACTCCGAGGAGGGCACAGAGAGGCTGGTTGGACACCAGGTGGCACCTGAGCCTTGGACAGTGGGGAGG